AAATGTTTTAATTGAATCCATTAATTCTTCAATACTCGAATCAGCAAGATCTTTAGTTTCTTCAATGATAAGAACAATAGGATTGTGTTTCTCCGGCAAACTTATCAAAATTTTCCCAACAACTTTTTGATTAGAAATATTATCCCAGAAATTTTCATTTGGTTCACAAGTTCCATATATCTAGAAAAATAATCCGTCAACAATTCTATATCCTTCATTTTTTTATTTTCAAAATCTCTTTTCAATGATTGAAGTTTGATGCTTCTTACATTCATGTTGCCTCTATACTCTTTTTAAAGAATATCCCATGCCTCATCTGCTTTCGTAACATTGATAATTCTTGGAAAGATCGCTTCTGAAACTCCTTGTTCAATCAACGAGAGAGCCTTTGAATCCTTCTTCCATTGCTCTTTCAATTGGTTCGTTTGGAGATTTGTCAAAGCTCTTTCATCTTCAGGTTCCTCGAACCCATTCTCAATAAGATACCAAAGATCCGTATAGACAAAAATAGTTCTTATTTTCACATACCAAAAATAAAAATTTTCACCATTAAAGATAGGAGTAGATACATTTTGGTCGCTGGAATTCGCTATGGACGTCGGCTTGTTCTTCTTTGGGGCTTCTTTTCCCATGTCCGATCTCTACGCCTAGCTTGTTTTTGACCCCACCAAAGCTTTGATACTACTTTTGTTACCTTTTAATAAAACTCTCTCTAGAATGAACTATTATTTTGTATTGAATTTAACTTGTATTGATCTTGAATTTTTTCTCTTATTCTTCTCGTTGCCCATAGGCTTACATCCTTTTATATAAAAAAAGTTATACATAAGTTCAATGAACGATCTTACAACTAACTAGGTACATAAATATAATCTAGACAATGAACTTAATAAATATAAAACACATGAATATACAAATACATTAATACAAAGAATATATGAACCCAATTTCCAATGTATGCAATATAAATATGACATTAATTTTAACGCAATAACCTTGCAATGATGGTTTAAACTCCAAAACACAATTAAAGATTTAAACCACCATTGTAAGATAATTGTAAAAATATTTAATCCATCTTTTTCACGGTGAACTTTTGCCAGACCAAGTTTTGTCCAAATTTTATGAACATATGATGATTAAGTTTTGAACAAAAAATGGATTACAAATTTCAATTAAGAAACTTAAATTGTATGAAACCAAACACACTCCATTAACTCATTTTAAAGCCATCGTCACCTAAGTGAAGTCTTCAAGATCAAACTCCAACGACTCAGCCAATAGATTATTGATGTCCCAGCCCAGTGGAATTCATCATGAGCTTGACCTCATTACTGCTTCGTGGCAAGAATCAATCAAACAACGCGGGTTTGAATTTGTATTTTTAGTGTTATAAATGACCAAAGGGGATAAAGAGAATTGGACTGTTGCATGAGTTTCAAATTTTCTACAGTGTTGAATCTGTCTTTTAAGAACAGGGTCGGTGTGGATCATCTAAAGTGTGTGGGAAGAAAAAGGCATCTCGGCATGCAAACTTTTCTTTTCGTAGAATTTTTACCACTTTTTTTTAGCGCACTGAAGACATTTTTGTCTGCGTCTCTTTTCTTTAGGATCATTATGTGCTCTGAGAACAAAATATAATTTGTAGTGATCTAAATTGTAGAATTTATAATTTTAAATATGATTAATACACATTTTAAATATGAGATGACATTTCAAATCCATCATAAGTTATGTTTAGGTGAATTACATTGACCTCTTATGAGATTTAAATAAAATATGATAAATTTTACAAATTTTACATAATTATATTAGGAAATTATTCAATATTCCCAGAGTATCACCTGACCATACTCCAAGGTAATTACCAATTACTTAGCCCCATATTGTTCCCCCATCTCCAACATGGATGGTGGGCCTTACGCCTCTCCACCAATCAAAACCTTACGGAACATCACGTGTCCATACTCTGAAAGTATTGAATAATGACTCAATTATATTAGACTTTCTTAACATTTTAATTCAGATAATATTTTAGTCCCATTTTCATAAATAAATAAATAAATAAAATCTTAATCATATTAATAAAAAATGATATTGTAATATTTTTTTTACATTGAAATGAATATATTTTATTTTATTTATCTTTATCTCTTCATACTATCTGTAGTAATTGTGGTTCCTTTTAGCCTTATTAAAAGAAATATTGGTGTAATTATACTAAAATTATAGAATTGGATGTATTTTATTATTATTATTATTATTATTATTATTATTTGTAAATCTCAAGTGAGTGTAAATTAATCTTAAGATAAATTAATCGTTATATTTTGTTTCGAAGTGTCTAAACAAATTTATTTTGTAAATATGACATTATAATGAAGGGCTTGAAGGCTCAAATAAATTAAGACAAAAAAAACCAACCCACCATTTGGTGAGAACCATGGCTGGCTGTCCACTTGGCAAAGTTTCACTGTAGTACCACTGACTTTTTGTATAACAATTAGTGAAAAAATGGTACTTCGAATGGAGCTGCATTATCGTTCAAAAAAATATATATATATATATATATGAAGCTGCATTACTGTCCATTTTCATATCAACAGCGTGAAACGTGCCCTTTTCTGTTGTACTTGTACCCACAGCCATAGGGACCCTTACATCCCACAATCGCTTCGTTTAGAAAGTGTATTGATTTTTTGATTTTTTAATTTTTTTAAATTTTTTTTGAGAAAAATATAATAATTATGAGTTGTATATTATGTTTTGTTTTATTGAACTAAAATAACTTATTTTATTTTGTATGACTATTTTAACTCCAATCCATCTTCCCAGACAAGCCCAGTGTGTTCCCCTATCCTTTACCAGCCAAGGGTGCTTGTCTAGTTGTTGGGATTTATCTTGGCTCACCTCCTATCTGTTTTGGTGAGACTAAAATCGAACTTAGATTAAGGTCTCGTTTAGCAAGTAGTTGTTTTAGTTTAAAAGTCAAAAAATTATTAAAAAAATCAAAAAGCCTATAACCTATATCAGAAAGTCAAAAATTTTATTTTCTTTTTATTTTTTGTATATCTTTTCGTAAAAAGCTAAAAACTCATTCTAAACATACTATTTTTTTTTACCTCACATTGTAGCCACAAAGTTAAAAAGTTACTAAAATAGCATGTTCCCAAACGTTTGAGGGGCCTTTGACATATTTTGTTTTTTTGTTTTTTTGTTTTTTTTCTTTTTATATTATTCAGCACTTAAATAATTGGATTAAATTTTTTACTTATTTCTCAAATTAGGTTAAAATGTGATTGCCATTCACACTTCTTAAAAAATATTATTACTAATAACATTTTTTACTCAACATAGGACACTGTTTGAATTACATCATCTTTTTTCAATTTATATTTAAGTAAAAAACGTGATTATTAATAACGTTTTGAAAAAAAACAAAAAAACAAAATTGTGCATAGAAATCAGGCTGTAGCTTAGTTTGAGAAATAAATTAAATTTTGACTTAGTTATTTAATTTTTGAATATAAAAAAATCTAAATAGGTTAAAGCCCATAATACGATATTCAGATCAGAGTTGCTATTTGTTGGGTTAGTCTCAACAAATTTTTTTGTCTCATATTTAGAGAAAGATTGTTATGCAGTGATTGCCTTCTCTTATTCTTTCTTATCTAGTAAAAATATTTTCTGCAATCATTTTTTATGAGAGGGAGTAATTATTCATTGTCACCAACAAAAATATTTTAATTCCAACATAATTTTGGATTATATATTTGTGTGGCCGCACAAATACGTGATCCCAAATGGTGTTGGGGTTTGTGACTAAATAATTTTCACCAGAGAAGAAATGGACCCAACAAATTAGTTCAATGAAGCATCTCTTCTCTAATGGGTTTGAGGCACATGGGGCCTTGGAGCCATTCAATGGGAGGAGAAATTAAGGAGATATGTTGTCTTGGAAATAAAATAGACAGGTTATAAATAAAATAATAAATCTCATACATATATAACTCTAATTTCTGTTGTATTTTTAAATCCCCAACTAGCATTTGACATGAACTAGTAGTCCTCCTTTTAACCTGGTAACAAAGCCGCTCTAAACAGTGTGGTTTATTAGATGAAGGCCCTCTAATCATTTTTCCGGATTATTAGAACGGCATAAAAACTTTCAGTAATTTGGTTGAATCGTTCTTTCATTATTCAATATAATCCGTTAGGGAAATACAAGAAGGAGGGGAAGCTGATAATGACGGCATCTTTGGACCGACCATTATCAGTTTTCTTAATCACTGAGCCGTCCCGCCACGTAATGGACCAAAAATAAATTGGCTGGCAAAATCTTTTAAACCTTAATTAATTAGCATAATTTATTGGATCAGTGGCAGACAGAATGAATTGGGCTTTGATGGGCTCTGGATCATTACTAAACCGTCCAAAACTGTTTTTTTTTCCGGCTTTGTTAGGATCCTGTATTATATGTTGATGTTATATTTACACTTTTTGACTCACATTTTGTAATGTAGTGGAAGTCATATATCTCTTTGCAAATCTGTTTTATGTTTAAGGTTAGTTCAAGCAGTTTTTGAGAAACAAAAATTCAACACATTAAACTCTCACATCTTACTTCAATATATATATATATATTAGATAGACTCTCTCATTCTCTCTCTATCCAACTCAAACAAAATTTTTAATTAACTTTTTAATATTCACTAGACTCACAAAAAAAAAAATTATTAAGTACTTTTAAAATCCTATGTGACATAACAAATGATATTCTTGCTAAGTTAAAAATCGCACTACATGATGAGTCTGCGTCCCTCACTCAAATGTGTACACTATTGCTGGCCGGTCACATGAAGACACATAAGCTCTTCCAAAAGTTAAGAAAAAAACTTACAAGAAGGCTTTTTAAAACCCTACAGCTTACTAGGCCGTCCACCAAAAACCCTATAAAAGCCCACCACCACCACCCTCTTATATCCCCCCAACCACAAATCTCTCTCTCTCTCTCTCTCTCTCTCTCTCTCTCTCTATATATATATAATATATATATATAAAAAAAAAAAAAAAAACACAGACAGACAATGTGCAAGCTACCTGCCTCCCCTCTCTCCTGCAAATGCACTTCAAACCAACCTTACCTTCTCTCCATCAAAGAGCCAGAACCCGACATGTATGCCCATTTGGTCCCCAAAAGCCCAACACCAAAGCAGCAGCAACAACAACTACCAAACCAAACCCAACAACAGGACCAAGAGACCCACAAAGCCACCCATGATGATCATCTCTCTCTTTCCATTAAAGAAGCCAAGTCCATAGCTAAAATAGCTCTTCCCATGATACTCACAGGCCTCTTACTCTATTCTCGATCAATGATCTCCATGCTCTTCCTCGGCCGCCTCGGCGAGCTCGCCTTAGCTGGCGGTTCTCTCGCCGTAGGCTTCGCTAACATCACGGGCTACTCCATTCTCTCCGGACTTGCCATGGGCATGGAACCCATTTGTGGCCAAGCTTTTGGTGCCAAGAAACACACCCTCCTTGGCATTTCCTTGCAGAGGACTGTGCTTTTGCTTTTGTTTACCTCATTTCCAATAGCTCTTCTTTGGCTTAACATGAAGAGAATTCTACTCTTTTGTGGTCAAGATGAATCTATAGCTACAGAAGCACAGTCATACCTTTTGTTTTCCCTCCCTGACCTTTTAGCTCAATCTCTTCTACACCCATTACGAATCTATCTTCGAACTCAATCCATAACTTTGCCTCTAACAATCTGTGCTACTCTAACTACTCTTTTACACGTACCCATAAATTATTTTCTTGTCTCAAAACTTAGTCTTGGAGTCAAAGGTGTTGCTGTTAGTGGAGTATTGTTTAACTTCAATCTTGTAACTTTATTAATCATCTACATACTGATCTCTGGAATATACAAGAAAACATGGGGAGGACTATCCATGGAGTGCCTGAGAGGCTGGAAATCGCTACTGAATTTAGCCATTCCGAGCTGCATTTCGGTGTGCCTTGAATGGTGGTGGTACGAAATCATGATTTTGCTTTGTGGGTTGTTGGTAAACCCAAGAGCAACAGTTGCTTCAATGGGTATTCTGATCCAAACCACTGCTCTCATCTACATATTCCCATCATCTCTAAGCTTCAGCGTATCAACACGTGTAGGCAACGAACTGGGTGCTAGTCAGCCATCAAAGGCAAAGTTCGCAACCATTGTAGGCTTGTGTTGCAGCTTCGCTTTAGGATTTTCAGCTCTGGTTTTTGCATACATGGTGAGAAACGTGTGGGCTACCATGTTCACACACGATAAAGAAATCATAGCTCTAACATCGCTTGTTCTGCCGATAATTGGGCTCTGTGAGCTCGGAAACTGCTCTCAGACAACTGGTTGTGGGGTTCTGAGAGGAACAGCGAGGCCAAAAGTGGGAGCAAACATCAATTTAGGTTGCTTTTACCTAGTTGGAATGCCAGTGGCAGTAGGGTTAGGGTTTTTAGTGGGGTTGGATTTTGAGGGGCTTTGGCTGGGTCTGTTGGCCGCCCAGAGCTCGTGTGTGGTGACGATGTTGGTGGTTTTGGGAAGGACAGATTGGGAGTTTGAAGCACAGAGAGCTAAAGAGCTGACTGGGGCTGTAGTTGTTGCTGGTGATGACAGCGAAGAAATTGAGGAAGATAAGCTATTCAACAAAGCTGAAACCAAAGAAGATTCTTCTTGTCTATTTGGTAGTGATTTAGTTTAGGATGCTCGTTACTTGTTTAATCTTTTTATTTTTTTTTTTCTTCTTATTTCTATTTTTTTTTCACCTAAGTTGTAAAGCAGTGAGGGAGAGAGAGGGGGGGGGGAAGGCTTTCAAATTTTTTGTTTGGTCAAGGCCATCTTTTTTTTTCTTATTTCTATTTTTTTTCACCTAAGTTGTAAAGCAGAGAGGGAGAGAGAGGGGGGGGAAGGCTTTCAAATTTTTTGTTTGGTCAAGGCCATCTCCAGGGAATTTTTGCTACTTCCAGTGAATATAAAAATATATACTTATATCACAGAGTATAAAAATGTGACGAGGAAGAGGCAACCACCATTTTGTACTATTTATCCTTTTTAATATGACGGGTGTGATGCATTGTCGAAATATTTTATTAGAAGTCACCATTTTTAATGTGATGAAATACACAAGTAATAAAATAAATTAAGTGCTGAATAGAATTTCTTTCTAGTATGGATTAAACTAGCAAATTTTTTTTTTTATTATTTTTTTTAAACTCAGTATCCGGTTAATCTCAAGAAATTATTTATATTTAGAGGTCATGTTTGATTCACAACACTAATAGTGAGGTATTAATAATCCTATCAAATTAGTGTGGTATTAACTATTCCTCCCCTACCCCATTACTAATAATCCTACAAATTTGTTGGATTAATTATCCATTGGATTAATAATCCTAAACTAAAATGTCAAAACAAACATAGGATGATTGAACCCACGGATTAATAATCTCAATCCCATACTTTAATCCTTCCAATCAAACATGCCCAAACATGCCCAGAAAGTTTTAAATCCCAGACTTTGGAGGGATCACACTTTAAGTCCCAAATCATGACCACCAAGCCAACCCCAAGTCCCTAATGACCGGTCAATCAGAAATGCAAACCATCCCCCCCTCCCCCAAAAATAAAAAAATAAAAAAAAATAATAGTGATATGTTTGTTTACCTAATTAACATTTTTTTTCATATATTTCAATATATTATGCTCACTTAAATACATTTTTTACAAATATACAAAGGTGATTGATAAATCAAAAGACTATCATTAGAATTTTTTTATTCAGATGTGCTACATATTTGGAAAAAATTTTTTTAAAATTTTATCCATAATTAAAATATGTGAATAAAATTCAATTTAGATATAATTCACAACATACTAATTTTAAATTTACAGTCTACACATCATTTTTTGTTTAAAATTCTAATTAACTTTTAATGGTAAATATTTTAAATTTACAACACATATACATCATTTTTTGAGTACAGTTCTACTTAACGTTTAATGGTAAATACATGTATGGATACGAAGAGACTAAAAGCGAAATTACTTGTTCGTGACATTCCACTTGTACTGCTGCTCTACTACTTTTCTGTTGAAGGAACATTTTTCAAAAGAAGCTTTGTTTGGTGGAATTAGCAGTCAAATCAAGTCGGCTGAATTTAAACAGTAAGGCTCTGTTTGTTTGGGTGGACATGAGTTTAGAATTGAATTAATAGTCTAATAAAATTATTAATTCAATGTTTGGTTAAACAATTGAAGTATGGACTAATTATTTTAAACTTGACTATTAGTTAAGATAGGATACATAATCCAATGGATTTGTAATCCTAGGACTATTAGTCATGGGAATACTAATCCAGTCCGTCCAAACAAACATGGCCTAAGTGTATGAATCAGGAAAAATATTTAAAAGTTGTCTAAATTTTAGACTTGTTTGGAATCTGAGTTAGTTTTTTGACTTTTTAATTTTTTGGTTATTTTAATTTGGATTAAAAAGTTTTAATTGGGATGAGTTTTTTTTTTTTTTTTTTTTTTTGACTTTTATGATAGAAAAAATAAAATTATTATGATTTAGATGTTGCACGTTGTCTTATTGACTTTTTAGTCTATTTTGTCTTTTTGTGGCTAAAATAGCCTGAAAATAGCATCCCAAACATATATGTAGATTTAATTTTTTCGAGTAATATTATGTAAATAAAAAATTTATACATAATTTTTATATATAATGATGTAACTCATTATGGACATATTTACTTTAAAACAAAACATTATTAAAAATACATTTATTTACAATAATGACATTGACATATCATTTTTGTAATCCTTTTTTGCATGAATTTTATATATTAATAGAATTTTTTTTAATTTTTTATTTTAATTGTGGCCTTACTTTGTAAATACTATAACATATAAGAGTTTTAATAGTCAAGTTTTTTTTATTCCTAAAAACTATATATATATATATATATATTTTTTTTTTTCTCAAAAAACAACTGACTAGCTTTTGTCATCGCAAGAATAGTAGCAAAAAGGTCACTCTCAAAAGTCATCAAATTTTTTTTTTTTTAAATATCGTTAATAACTACATTTTAAGAGACAAAATAATTTAGTTTCAAAAGGTTTATTGTTTGAGAAAACAATTTTTATTCCAAACGGATAATTCATCCCAAATATCCAAGTTCGTCTCTAAAAATATAATGACACTTTTAATAATAAAAATATTTTATTTCTGAAAATTAATTTTGTCTCTAATTTTTTTTCCTTAAAACTTTAATTTGTTGCAGTGAAATGAATCTTAACTATAAATTTCATATTCTGGATAATTTATTTATTTATTTTTCTAAATTTATAGGCCTACTGAAATTTAACTCATGCTCCAATACTATATTGAACTGGGCTCATGAGATGCTGGGTTAGACCATCCCAGTAGTGTAGCATTTTTTGTGCTATTTTAGCATAGTAAGAATTATATAAATTTATTATAAACGGCTAGCATAGTAAGAATTATATAAATTTATTATAAACGGCTCAAGGGGCGTATGTGATAAAAAATTTTAAAAAAAATAATTTGTATCGCATATATTCTAATATTCTAGTTTTTCTTTTGTTGTTTATTTATTTATCTACCTATCAACCACCATTTTTCAATCACTAATTTTTTAGATAATGTGTCAATTCATTAATTTAAATAAAAATTACAAAATAAATAAAGGGGTATGTGTATTGATGTAATTTTATATTTTATATTTAATTTATTTGTTCCAAATTCGCATGCGCTTAATTTGTCTTCACATATCATAGTTGTAGTTAGTAACAAATTAAGCTTCAACCATTATGGCATAAAAATAATTTGGGTAAATTATAAATACACTCATGAAGTTTGCTTAAAATATAAATTGCCCTCTGTGATCTCAAAAATCACATCCCACCCCTTGAAGTTTCTAAATTCGTAACAAATAGCCTATTTTATTAATAAATCATCAAGTCAATTAATAATATTTAATGATGTTAAAAATATATTTCAATTAATAATTCAAATAATTTTATTACTGTATAAGAGAACAGTTAAAAGCTTAATTTTTTTTGTTAATTTTGTTAGATAAAAAATTCTGACAATAAGATATTTATAATTTTTCAAATCATAAGAAACAATCCGTATTTTAAACAAATGTCAAGTAATATATTTATAATTTACGCAAATAATTTTGATAAAAATATCAACTAGTTAAGATGTAGCATAACATAACACAATGTTATTTTTAGCCTAGTATATATTACATTATTCAAGTCCGTGTTTATTTTACCACATTATGCTATTTCAGCATTGCTAGATTGAGGCCTCGTTTGAGAATAGGCTAATTTAGTAACTTTTTTGTTATTTGGCTAAAATATGAGGTAAAAAAAACTAGTATGTTTGGGATGACTTTATAGTTTTTTACGAAAAAATATGTAAAAAGTAGACAGAAAAGAGAATCTTTGACTTTTTGGTATGAGTTGTTGGCTTTTTGGCTAATTTAGTAACTTTTTGACTTTTTTGCTAAAATGGAGGGTCCCCAAACCAGGAGTCTTTTTTTAGTTAACTTTTTCGAGATTATTCATTTTTTAATTAGAAAAATTACGGTTCTAAGAACTTAAAAAGTAAAGAAAAATGATTTAAACTTGAAAAAATTCACTACAAACAAAAATTCGTTTGAAAAAAAAAATAAAAAATAAAAAATAAATAAATAAAGAGAGAGATAGAGCTTTGAAAGCAAACTTCCAAAGTAATCCAAAAATTAAAAATAAATAAATAACAAAGTTACCATAAATAACATGATTTATTTTATCCATTACAAAAGTAAAAAAATTATAAGTGTATTAAATAACATAATTTATTTTAACTTTACATTATTCGACTTATAAACTGCAGCCAAAAGAGCTTAAGCACTTCAAATTAATTTGACTTTTGGTGTCTAATCTACTTAATAAACAATCAAATTAGACAAATTATATATTTGGTTAGTTTGCATTTTATAGTTGAACTTCTATAAAACTATACATTTTTACTCACAACATTATGCCTATTCAATATTTCTACTTTATTCCAGTATGTTAACATTAAAAGTAAGATTCTACAATTGTTCCAAATCACAAAAAATGCTATATATGACTTTAAAATATTTTTTTTCAAATTTTGTTTGACCTTTTTCTATTGTCTAAAATATTGTTTGACTTTTGAAAGTATTGCATAGAATATTAGAATAAAGCACTTCAAAACAAAGTTCTGTAATGATTCTAGGTATGATCAATTGGTGTTTCAAAAATATTGTAATTAGTAGAGCAGATGAGGTTTATGATTTTATACGTGGTGGCCAACCTCTAATAATTTTTTATAATTTACATAGTGAACTTTTCAAAGTAAAGGAGTAAAAAAAAATAATAATAATAAAAAAATAAAAATAAATTGAGAATGACTCAAATGGTTGAAGAAATAAAATTAAAGTTCATTGAATGTCCAGTTTTGCTAACTTTTTTTTTTGATCAGCCAGTTTTGTTAACTTTAATTACTAATTTGTTAATATTCCATCTTTAAAAAGAAAAAAAAAATCACAATAATAAATAAAATTAAAATTCCATAGAAGCTTTCAAAAATGGATATTAGTGACCGTGGCATGAAAGGAATAACCCATTGTGACGTGAAACGATAACGACAGTGACGAGTGTGGAATTGTTTTTGTTTTTTGGTTTTTGTTTTTTAAATTACGTGGAGGTCTTAGGTTCAGTTGTTACCAGGAAAATTCAAAATCAAGCATTGCCAAAAGTACAACCTAAGCGAAAATTTACC